GGAAACCTTTAACCCTTTTTCTTTTTTTAAAATTTCGGAAAAATTTAAGCCCCCCTTTACCCTGGGATTTTTCCTTAAGATTTTTTTTTTTTCTGTCGGCACAACCAAGGGGGGGGGGGGGGGGGGCATATGCTTGCACCCGTGATGGTAGGGTTGGCCGTACTATTCACTATTCAGTGCTGACCGCGGTTGTTGCGTTGGCGACAACGGCGGTGGAAATACTCTCAGCGAAGCGGTACAAGACGCGCCGCCACACACACACACACACACACCGCCGCACACGGTAGACGCTCTTTACAGAACCGAAAACGACCAGACACACCTTCTTGTGCCGAACGCGCGGCACCACCGAGACCCGAAATCGTACCATGCAGCCTTACAAGGGAGTATAGATCGTACGGCAGTCATGGCGGGCCCTCCAAATAGCGCGGGAACGTGCCAGGCCACTTCACTCGACCTACGGCGGGGACTCCTATTCACAGTAGTAGGAAACAACTTGATCAGACTATTCTAGGTGTGCCAAGAGATTACCACCGCCCTACCTAGAGGCTCCTCCCTCAATAGAGGGCCCAAGACTGTACCTCTTTCTGCCCAGGGTTCATGTTCATGTACTTGTGGCACTCGGCATCTCTGTGAGGTGTATGCGGCAGCAGCTGCACGCAGTGCAGGACCATCATCCTCCTGGGAGAGAAGCAAGGGCAGGAGGAATGAAACACGAACAGAACAAATCGAGAAAAATACAGCGCCGTGGCAGGCATGGCAGGGCATGACGTCACGAAATAAAAAAGGAACCGGCTCCATGTGAAACAAGAGGTTTGGGAAATAAATGTGAACCGGAACTCCCATGTCAACCAAGAGTTCGGGAATGAAAAGGAACCGGAACTCCATCACCTAGTAGGTTCACATATATACGGCATACAGAAACGGAGGTCGCAAGACACCTGAGAGCGCACATACAATCAGCGTCTAACACGGCGAGCATGTGCCACCAAGGCGCATGCAACCGCTTGCTTTGGCCTCCAAGATTCGCCGCACTGCCTGCCGGCGTACATTTGCCTCACGGATTTCGCTGTTACGGCGACGGCGAAAGAACCCAGAGATGACACGCCGGAAATTCCTCCGGGTCCTCGAATGGGGCTCGTCGGCGACAAGGCGCACCCGCTCCCCGCCAGCCAGAAAGCAAACACAGCAGCCCACTGCCAGACTCGCCAGTCCGCTTGGCGCAGCAACCAGCGCGACGTACTCATTAGGGAACGGTCAAGCTCTGCCGCATGACTACAACAAACAGCAAGCGTACGTAGGGAGGTATAGTTCATACAAGTACCAGGTACAATATACCTGGTTCCGTCCGGTGCTTCGGCGGCTTCCCTGCAGTCCTTCACCTCGATGTCCATCCACGAGGCCCCGTGGGGGGGGTGGATAAATCTGCGGACCACCTTTCTCCGGACAAGAGAAAGAGAGAGAGAGAGAGAGGGAGAGAGGGAGAGAGAGAGAAAGGAGAAATGACCCGTTGAGGTTGAGAGATGTCGGAGAATGTTTCCAACCAAGAACAACAAGGAGGCGAGAGGGCATACACCGAGATGCGGCTGTTGTCGTGAGCGAGAGGGTATACATGTAGTATCGCAAAACAGCAACAGCAACCACATAAGAGGAATGAGAATGACAACGGCAGCGAGACGAGATGCGGCCGCCGTTACTAACGAGCGTCACAAATGGATCGAAAACAGCAACAGCAACAGCAGCAGCGATAACAGTATAGCAGCAGCAGTAGCAGTAGCAACAACGAAGCCGACAACAACCACAACAACAATAACAACAACAACAGCAACGTCAAGAACAGCAGCTAGTGGCCGGAGCACCACCAACAAACACACGACAACCGCTCGCTCACCTTGCCCGGTCCGTACGCAGCACCATCGTCCCCCGGCCCGACGAGCTGCGCCGTCAAACCCCCCTTCGGGACTGTCAGGTATTCCGGCTTGGTGGGGATGAGAGCCGTCAACGGCACACGGAACATGGGGCCCTTCCCGGGGGAAGCCACATCGTACCCTGAACACAAATGGCGGCGAACAACCAAAAAGAAGAGGATGGGAGGGGGGAGATATGTTGGGATGGTCCGCTTGTTGAAAGAGACACCGACCGTACCTGGCAGCGAAAAGAAGCCGGTCGCTCTGCGCAGCGGTAGTTGGAAACCTAGCCTAGTCGCTTTCGGATTGGCTTGTGGCGCAAGGCCTGGATGCGGCTGCGCCATCGCGTACGCAAACAACGGGCGGGTGGGAACAAGCCCTACACGAGAGTTTCATCTAAAGGTTGGGGTGGGTGGCTCTAGCGCTGGCAAAAAACGTACACCCAAGTTGAGAACAAACCAAGAGCGTAGTGTAAAAAAAAAACGGAAAATAAGGATTGCGTGGGGTACTTTTACGATAGGATAGAAAATCAAGTGAGTCTATCAATAACTAGCGGGTGCTGGAGAAAACACACATGAGGCAGAACGAAGTTTAAGGCTCGTCCGATGGAAGTGCAACTGGGGCATGCGATGCGATCGAGTTTCTCCGTACGAAACGTACGCGGCAAATACAACGCATCCGTGAAGAACAAGAGGATCATCAACTGTAAAATTAAGGGGTGAGAGCTGATGAAACACGGCACGCTCAGCGCACGTGATTTGGACATGAGAAGACCATAAACTACAACCAAAATGCGTGGGTGTACGTATGTACGGCGGCAGCTTCAATGCACGTGCAGACGACGTGAAAACGAGAAGGTGAAAAACTGCAACCAAAAGTGACTGTGTATGTATGCATACGGCACGTATGCATACGGCGGCACCTTCGATGCATGCGTAGTGCACGTGAAAATCAAGCAAGGCTAAGAGTACTACAACCAAGAGTGAGTGCTTATGTATGCAAAAGCCGCCTTCATGCACGTGCAGTGGACGTAAAACCAAGAGACATTGGCAATACACAACAATAACAAAGAGAGTAAGGGCAAATGCATGCATACGGCACCTTCAATGCACGTGTAATGGAGGCCCGGGGCGAGCTTGGTAGGGTCCACGGCGATCACGAAGGCGCGGCCGCTGTGCAGCAGCTCCAGGTCCGACGAGCACTCCACCCAGTCTCCGTTGCAAGAAAGCCGTAGCCTCATCTCGAAATCCGTCTTCGGTTGCCGCGGTGGTGGTGGTGGTGGTGGTGGGCGGGGTGGTGGTGTTCGTGGCTCAGATAAATCCCTGTGCCCTTGTTGCAAGCTGAACGCATATATATCTCGAAATCCGTCTTTAGCTACGGCGGTGGTTCATGTGGTGTTGCCGGTTTCGTTTGCGGCGCACCGCTGTAAATATTTATCTGGCCATTTGCACACTGCCGCAAGCCACATTGATTCTAGACACACAAACAACCGGAGAATGCCTGAATACGTCGACAGACGAGCACGCTACCTCCCTGCAACAGTAAAAGGCCTCAAGTGAAAGCAGGCTGATTCCGGCAAAAGCCAGCGCGATGACGGCAGGCACAAGCTTTCGTACTCCTCACACCGTGGCGAGAAAGAGGGCAGGCGGTCCCGTACCCAGTCCTCGCTCTGGGTGTAGGTATGCTATCCGACAGGCCGTGGGTGCCAACATTGGCAACGTCAAAAGTTGTAACCGCCGCCCAAGCATGTTATTTTCTGCCCTGTGCAGAACACAAGACCGCTGGCTAGGGAAAATGAATATCAAGACCACCCAGCGAGAAAACCAGCAAGACTTGGTTCCGTCACGGGTAGCACGTACTCAACAACGCAAACAACGTCGACAACAGTCATCTACGGCAGCGACATCAGCACCGTCGACGACAACAAGTTGCACCACCACCATTACCACTACCACTACCACTACCACTACCACCACCAACAACAACAACAACAACAACAACAACGATGACAAAGACGACGACCACAGCAGCAGCAGCAGCATCATCATCATCCGAGGGAGGCAACTCTCACCCTCTTGTCGTTGTGGTCGTCTTCGTGCAGCACGGGCTTGACCGTCACGGCCCACTGGGTCTTCCTTGTCACCTCGTCCAGCTGCCGCAGGTACACCCCGCGCTTCCCGCCGGACACCGTCACCTGGTTTCCCGTCCCAAAAGCCAGACAAGAAGACAGGGGGGACTCATTACACAACCCACCATGCACTTGGCGTGTGATGCGACATTGCGCGGGGCCACACAGGAGGAAGGCGGTCAAACACCGGGACTCAATATTTCGCAAACCCTGCAACTAATGACACTTGAAAAATGACAATATGTTTCGTCCCTTCTCTCTCTCTCTGTCTCTCTCTCTGTCTATCTCCCTCTCTCTCACACACCTTGTATTCCACGTCCTCGCTGTCATCGAGGGCGTGCTTGGACAAGTACTCGAACGCGGCCGCCACCTGGACCAGCCCCTGGCCCTGCACGAGGGTCTCCAACGCCGGCAGGCGTTTCGCCGTGTTCTCCAGCGCTCTTCGTACCCTGACAGTTGCTCGGCCGAGAAGCGCGCGGCAGCAAGGAGAGGCTTCTTGTCACTGGCCATCCCGCATAGCAGCGGGGCGCGCAGAACGATTACACGTCAGGAAAAACACGAAAAAACAAGAACAAACTACAAATAACATACACAAGAGACATACACCCTTCACATCATGGCTCACACGTACCCACAAGCGATTCCAAAAAAAAAAAAAAAAACGCAGCTCCTCCAGTACACTATTACTGTAGCCCGGGTTCATGTATTAATAACCCATCAACTTCCACGGTTATCCAGCAAACACACCCACGACGAAACCATCCGGCTTCGCACCTGTGCACGCTGAACTTCTTGCCGGGAAACTTCCGCTTCATGCCCGAGAGCAGCAGCGACACCACGCCGGCGCAGTTGGGGCTGGCCATGCTGGTCCCCATCATGAGCTGCTTCTTCTGCAGAGTCCAGTTGGGTACGGGGGAGATGGCGCCTCCGGGAGCCATCACGCTCACGCCTGCTCACTCACCGACGATGGTGGTGGTGATCAGAAGAAGAAACACAAATACATATATATATATGCATGCATATATTCAACAGAAATACACTGGTTGAAAAAAGTGAGAGGCCAATCACGCTCACGCCGCCTCCCACGGTAGGTACTGGTGGTGACCACAAGCACAAAAAAAAAAAAAATGGAAATGGGTAGGGGTTGGTTTGGTGGTGATCAGAAAATACAAAAGAAAAAAAAAAAGGGACTTGGTTGAAAAAACAAATTGAGTACGAAACAACACACACGTGCAAAAGAGGGAATGAATCGTCTTCGACAGACGTTGGGGACGTGGGACCCTGTGCTAAAGGTTAAAAGGCCATATCACAACCACGCAGTATTAGTGCACATTACTTGTCAGGTGAAGCGGCGTTTCCTGCTCCGAACAGGTAGGTCCGAGAGCAAACCTGCTGGAAAGAAAAAGACGAGCGGCTGCCCGAACATGTACTCCCACCACCAACAACGACAACAACAACAAGGGCTGGCACGTTTGTTGTCTGTGTCCTGATTGCCGGTTGGGAAATAAACTTACCGATGTCGCCGTCGGCGGTGGGCCCTGCGCTGGTCCACGTGAAGTTTCCGCCCTCGAGGGTTTCCCTCATAGAAAAGGAGGCCGACATCAAACTAGGGCTCCTGGAAGAGAGAGATGGCGCGCGCGGGGCGGGGGGGGGGGGGTCAGAGGCAGAAACAGACAGACAGACAGACAGAGACAGAGACAGAGACAGAGACAGAGACAGACAGAAAACAAGTATGCGCGAACGGTATAGAAGAAAAGGAGTTGAAAAGACGGAAGACGGGTGCCAACGAACCGACAGCGATGGGGAGACAAAAGGCGGGAAAGGGTATGTACATGACGACACTGCTGTGGCGATTCGTTCTTCAACACGAACGCTTGGATCGATCGATCGATCGATCCCTCCGCAAAGAGCCCGCCCAAACCACCGATCGCGCCGACCCTCATCTCCAGGGAAACACACGGATCGAGCCACGGCCCCAAAGGGCAGATCATATAAAGGGCCATACACGGAACGGGAAAACGGGGCACCAAAAGAACGTGTACCCATGAACGATACCGCAACAACACTTCCGTTCCACCAAAACGCATGGCCGGAACGAAAAGCCGGTGTCTAGCCGCCAAGCAACCAAACTGCCGACGACCACGCTAGCATTGACACCCACTTGACGCACAGATGCTATCAATATGTACAGGTATGCTGCGGGGGGGGGGGTAACTCTCTGCCGTCAAGAACGGCAACGACAGGGATACGTTGGGGGTTAAACGCTGACGAAAATGCTACGCTTCGAACATGACCATTTCGAAAAAAATGCACCACCCCGTTAAGGAAGAAAGTGTCACTACCGCAGGGCGACTTTGGTATGCGTGCGTGTGCATGGGGGTGGGGATGACGACAAGAGTCGTTCTGCGTCACGCCATGCCTAGTCCAGATACTCGTTATGTGTGAAAGAACTCTGGCACGGTTGGGAGAGAGCGGAAAGACAGGCGGCATGAAATTAAACTGCACTAAAAACGAGGTACGGAGGTCTTTGGTGTGCAAAAGAAGACACAAAAAAAAAACAGAGGAACAATAAAAAGAAAAGACGTACGCATAGGCTCCGACGGACAACAGGGCGGGTGTCGTTGCACCCGGAGCCCCCGAGGTGCTAAGGGCGGGGCCGCTGTTCCCTGCGGATGACACGAACACAATGCGGTGCTTGAGCACGGCCTCGCGCGCAACATCGATGGCCCTTTTTTCGTCGCCACCACAGTGTTCATGGATTAAATACCACCACGTAGTGTAACAGGTTTTTCGGATGTTTTACAGCGGCGCCAACAGAGTAGTATGCATACGTCACGGTCAGATATATAATCCACAAAAAAAAAAAGTGTTCCCAAAGCGTTCGCAAAAACAAAAACAGGACCAACCACCATGCGCGTGATGGATAACGCGAATGGGCAACACCATCGTACGAGGTACAACCAAGACAAAAAAATGGCGAGAAAATAAAAATATGAAGCATGCGGGAAAAGACGCGAAAAAGAAGCGCGTTTGCCAACGAGTGAGGCCAGAGGTGAGCCCCCAAAGACGGGGTGGGCATGACGGAACAGATTCAAAACGTACACGAAAAGAGGACCGGGCCGAAGGACCGAAGGACCGAAACCGAACCCAGACAAACCAACCAACAGGCCACGGCACGGCAAGCCACCGCGAAGAAGCGGATAACGGGCGGGCGGATGACGTCATCGTTGACGACGCACACCGTTCGATAAATCGATCGTTTCGTTCGGCCGCACCATCCATCCCCCACACGGTCACCACGACATGGACAACACATAAAAAACACGACGGCACCGGGCAAGAAGAAAGCACGGCAAGGACAAGAAAAACGCGGACGGGGGGGGGGGGGGGGGGGGGGGGGGAGGCAAATCCCAAAGGTGGGGGAGGGGGGGGGGTTGCCCGGAAAAGGGAAAAGGGGGGGCCCCTCCCCCGGAAAGCCCCCCCCCCCACAAAGCCCCGGGGGGACCCCCCCGGGGCCGGGGGGGAAAAAAAAACCGGGCGGGGTTTTTGGGCCAACCCAAGAAAAAAAAAGCCGGGTTTGTGGGAGCCGCCCGGGACCCCCTGGGAAACCCCACCAAAAAGGGAAACCCCCAGGCCCCCAACCCCCCCCTTGGCCGAAAAAAAAAAAAAAAATTCCCAAAAAAAAAAAAAAAAAAAGGTAAAAAACGCCAAATTTCGCCCAAAGGTTTCGGGGGACTGGCCT